AATATTTGCCACTGTGTTACAATTGTCTATAGTATTCAGTACAGTAACTTGCTGTCCAGGGTTACTAGGGTATGCTATATAGCCTAGGTGTGTAGTAGGCTCTACCATCTAAGTTTGTGTAAGTACGCTCTGATGTTTGCACAGTGATAAAATCACCTAACGATGCATTCCTCAGAACGTATCCCTGTCATTAAGCAACACATGATTGTATTTAGAGTGTCACTCTTTCTGAATCAGTGTATAAAGATGGAGGCATGGCAGGCATTGGTAGTGGCCAGTGTGATTTTGGCTGATTCTGAAGGTAGTACTAGTGTGGTCTTAAGATAAATGACCTATTTGCTAGTTGTTATAAATCTAGGGTCTTTGACCTAGAGAGAAACAAAGGGGAATAAATTCCCTCTTATCATTTTTCAAGATGGTTTCATGATTCTGAGTACATTTCCTCAGTCCAGTTCCAGCTGCCTTATCATTTATGAATCTAGGTGAATTAGTCAAGAGAAAGATCCTGAAAAGTTTCTAGGATAGAAAGTAGAAATTAGTCATAAGTACTTATTAGTGTAGCAAAACTTCGGAGTTTTCTGGAATCTGTAAGGAACCAATAGATTCACATTATTATATTTAGTAATACATATTGAATGAACAAACAAGAAAATAGTACATATGTACAAGAAGCCTTGAGAAGCCATAAACTTACATTTCAGCACATTTATGATACTATATTTCAACTAGGATTTTGGAAAACTTTTTACATTAAGCATATGTTTTGTTTCAAGTTGACATGTAGTTACTAATGAAAAATTTTACCTTTCTTTTTATACAAGAGCTGTGAAGTCACAGGAGGTACTAATATTTTTGAACAGAGTTTTTGCTCCTTAACTGACATACACCTTTTGATTCAGGAACTGATCAAGAATGAAGTCCATCTATTCATAAACACTTAACTCTTTCTAGGACAGCAATCTTTAAAATGCATTGTAGCTGTCAGTTCCAAAATACGGGATAGTCACCTGCAAGCTGAGATTTGATGGGAAAAGAACAACTAAAATGTGGCCTGAAACTTCTTTTAAAAGAGGAGCACTTCTAACCCTTTTCTGAGGCTTTCTACCAGAGTAAATTCTTTGTAGGATTTATAGCTAGCATTATCTGTCTGTCAGGAATGAGTGGCTCTGGGCATTGGGACATTGAGAGTAGATGTAGGGCTGTTGAATATAGGGAAGTTATGTTGGATGATAGAGAAGGGCAAGTTGGGAAATTGGCAGTGTTTTATCTTAGGACATCTTCACTTACAATTGATATGCAAATGATTCATCTGTAGAGGAGGAGATTTTAGAAGTAAAGCTTTAAATAGGTTTTCGGGGATATTATTTTGGGGTTTTATGGGCCAGGAATATAAAAGTAGCTTTTGACAGCATGGCCCTTTAGAATGAACTACCTCCATTTTGTAATTAGCAATTTTAGGTTGGAGGAGGAAGGCAGGTAATTTTTCCCCCAGCAGGTCCTTTGGAAATTTGTAGGGTGTGTGTGTGCAAGAATAAGTGGTTTTCATAATAATAAACAAGTGGGGTCCAGGGATGCTAGACATCCTGTGATGTGTGGATTGTTGAGACTGATAAGGTTGAGAGCCACTGCT